AACTATATATATATACACATACACATATATATATGTATATATATATGTATATATATATATATATGGAAGCCGTAATAAGGAACCCTAAAGAGGTCGGCCTTTCCGGCTACAGGTGCACTCTAAACTTCGAGCCCCCCCAGGTGGTGGCATTTGGGCAAACGACGTACCTGGCGCAGCCCTACGCCGGTGGCGGCATGCAGCCTCAAGGCCAGGGACCTGGTGAAAAAGGCTTTTAAGTCTTCTTTTTGCAGGTTGCCAGTGTAGGGTTTAGGGTAACGGGATCAATGAGCCTTTTTTTTTTCAGGTTTGAAGTGTAGGTTTTAGGGTCACTCGGGTTTGGGGCTGCTATTTCTCGGATTGGAAGGTTTGGGCTTTTGTGGGGCATCTGGGGTTTAGGGTTTTTTCTCCAGGTAGGGGTTCCCTAAACCCAAAGCCCTAAAACCCTAAAGCCCTAAACCCTAAATTCTAAGCCCTAAACCCTTAAAGCCCTTAAAGCCCTAAACCCTTAAAGCCTTTAAAGCCCTTAAAGCCCATACTGGGGGTGTTGGGGCCAAAGGGCTTTAAGGGTTTAGGGCTTAGGGCTTAGGGTTTAGGGTCCAGGGTTGGGGCCTGAAGCTTTTCAGGTTTTCGTTGTGTGGCCCTGGACGGTTTTTGAGGGAGTGGAAGTGGCGCTAGAAATCCACAGCTCTTCAGCAGCACGATGCTTTCTGGCCTTATGGGGAACCCTAAACCCTAAACCCCTAAACCCTAAACCCCTAAACCCTAAACCCCTAACCCTGAACCCTAAGCCCAAAACCTTAAGCCCAAAACCTTAAAGCCTCAAGCACAGGGGATTCAAGAATCTCTTTCAGGGACCCCTGTGCCTGGAAACGGATCCTACAAGACCCGATGTATGGTCTGAGAGGGGCGCTCTGAAGCCTGTATCAACCCTCATGATCTAGGACATTTTTGAGGTGGGTAGTGATATAGGAGCCTTGTAGAAGGTTTATATACCTTATAGAAGCCTTGTAGAAGCCCTATATACCCTAAACTCCCCACTTGTAGTTTCCTTTGACATGAAGCCTCACAAAGCCTTCCACAAAGCTATTCCGAAACCCTAAGGCCCTAAACAGCTGTTCCGAAACCCGATAGGAGCCGGAGGGTGCGACCCTAGACCCTGAAGCCTAAAACCTAAGCCCTAAACCCTAAACCCTAAACCCTAAACCGTTGCCGCTGTCTTTCAAGCGACTTCTTTCGACATCGTCAGTTAACTCAATACAGGCCCTGAGTCCGAAACGGATCCCTTTAAATGGGACTCTCTTCCATCAGGGCCCCCATGTTGAAGCCTTTAGAGCCCTTAAACTTAAGCCCTGGGTTTAGGGTTTAGGGTTTAGGGTAAGCCCTAGAGGCCCCCCCCAAGAAATCTTAAACCCCCTCAACCCTCACGCCCTTCAAGCCCGGCACACCCTGAACCCTCAGCCCGAAGGCCCCTCTAAGAGCCAAGCCCAGAAAACCCAATACCCCTTAATTAAGGAATATTCCTTAAATCATCATAATAAGGCCCTCTAATGTAAGGTATATTCCTTAATTAAGGTGTACTGGGTCTTCTGGGAAAGCCGTAGAACCCGACTCCCAGGCCGTTCCAGCCCCCTTGCTCGGACTATGCCACGGCTCGAGGTCTGCATCCAGCTGGGGGAAGTTCGGTCGGGGGTTCCAAGGTTCGCCCAGTTTGGGCTTTAGAGCGGCGTAGTGTTTCGGGTTTATGGAAGTGGGGAAGAGTTCGGGCTCTAAGCTTGAGACGGTTTAGGGTTTAGGGTTTAGACTCGAGAAGTTTCGACAGCTCCTGGACCTCGCCATGTGTCACATGTTCAGTTTCACACTGCAGTGCTGATGAGTGCTAACTGTTGATGGCCGCGCCAACTATGCCGTAACGCCTGCCTTGCCCTGAAGCCTTGCACCCCCTAAACTCTAAACCGCCCTAAACCCCTAAAGCCCCCAGCCCTAAAACCACGAAGCCCGAAACCCCCAGACGCCTAAAGCCCCCTAACCCCAACCTCTGACGGCCCTAAGAACCCTAAAACCCGGAAGCCCAAACCCACAAAGCCGCACCCCCCCAACCCCCCTAAACTCCCGAAGCCCTAAATTTTAGCCCTAAGCTCTAAACCCTAAACCCCCTGAGCCCTAACCCCTAAACCCTAACCCCCCTAAGGCTTATAAGCCCAAAACCCCCCAAAACCCCCAAAACCCCCAAACCCTGAGCCGAAGTTACTTAAGGTTCCTTGTTTTATAATTAAGTCAGGGGCACATAACCCGATTCGAATTATTCAGGCCCCTAAACCCTAAAACTCCCCAAACCCCTAAACCCTAAACCCCCACAGCCCCGACACCCCAAAAACTCCCCAAAAATCCCTAACCCCTAGGCCCTCTAAGCCTCCCTACTAAGCCCTAAGCCGAAGTTACGCCTTCTTGTCAGGACCGCAGCGACCGCGAGCCTCCCACGCTGATCCGCGAGCGCGAGCGCTTCGCCATGGGCTTGCGATGTGACCGAGGCTTGGGGGTTTAGGGTTTTAGGGTTTTGGGGCTTTAGGGGTTTAGGGTTTTAGGGTTTAGGGGCTTCGGGTTTAGGGTTTTAGGGTTTAGGGTTTAGGGTAGAATGGTTTAGGAGTCCAGGGGACCCGGTGCTGTGCAATTCTGTACAAAGCCTGACAGCAAAGAACCTACAATACTCATCAGGACAAATCTTAATCATTCCTAATCTTTAGCTGCTTTGTGTGTGCATCTGAGTCTTGTTGTGACCCTTGCACTATATTCTGAATATTCTGCATCCTGACGGTTAGCGTTGCGTCTCTGTTCATTGTCTCAGCCGCATGCCTCCCGAGCACAATATACGAGCCTGAAGAGAGAGTTGCCACTGCTATTTGTTTACTGGTTTCTAAATAAACATTCATAGAATCTACATCAAAAGCTCAATGCCTCCCCCTCTAAAACAAGCAAAAAAAGGCAGTGGCCCTCACGGATAGCGCTCCGTGCCAGGTCTCATCTCACCACCTCCAGCGCGTGGACCCCACATCCGCCACGCGGGAAGCTGTGTGCTCCAATCTCGGGCCGAGCCTGCGCCGCAAGGCAGCGCGGAGGCCTCGCCCTGCAACACCACGGCAGCCTCGTTCGTACCTTTTCCGAAGAGCCCCACACAAAGCTCCACGGGGCCCCGGCTTGCAGATTTCCTGGCGCCGAGCTTCAGCAGCTCCCTGGACCGTGGGCTAAGGCCGAAGACCATTTCGGGACCCGGGAGGCCCTGCAGTGCCGGGCCACGGCTCAGCGCCGAACGGCGCCGAAACAGCGAGCAAAACCCGGGCACCTTGGCCATCAAGTGGCTGACTTGGGAAGGTCTGGGGAAAGAAGGGGCCAGCGAGGCGCCCCATGTTCCCCGACCCACAGCTGCAAAGAAGGAAAGTGGGGAGACGAAGGAGCTCAAGGTGGAGAGCAGGGAGCCCGAGGAGTCCGTGGGCTGGAGCTGCGAGCCTGAGACTTGGTTCTTGTTAAGGGATTTAATTTAAAATTTAAGGTGCCATAATTGGGATCTATAGTAATTAATATGGCTTCCTTATGATGGTATCTTAAGTTAAATCCCTTTACAAGAACCCAGGAGAAGTTGGCTTTGTCCACCCTTCGGTCCTGGACCACCGCCGTAGCAGCCACGGCGGCCGACTTGGAGTGCTCCTTGTCACCGAGGAAACGAGGCTGCCCAGTAGCAGACTTTTTTTCCTTTTCTGGGTTCCTGGGTTCCTAGCATATTACAACTAACCTAAAAAAGTATTTTATAATATTACAACTAACCTAAAAAAGTATATTATAATATTACAACTAACCTAAAAAAGGTATATACTTTTTTCCAGGGAATTACTGAAGAGCCTAGGAAAGATCCGGATCTCCGGCCCTACAACAGCCAGTGCTCCTTGGCTTTGAGACCGAAGCGTCCTGCAAAGCCCTGCTAATGACAGGCGACCCGTGAACGCCTCCCTAGTGCTTAGAGCTTGAAAAGGCCCGGAGCTGTTTTGGGCTTGTTTCGGGCTCGTGGGGTTTTCCGCGCTTCTAGGTTGATTAAGGGCTTAGAGGTATATTTTGGGATTTACAGGATTGCTACGCTTTCAGAAGTGCCATCTTCCGGCAACGTCTACAGTTACCGAGCCTTGATTCTGGGACTATGGGGTTTCGGGGGTTGGGGGGCTTGAAAACTTTGGGTTTTCATGATGTAGAACATCTTCTTATGCAGACACATATCCAGACCACGAGCCACGAGAGGCAATTGCTCAGTGGCGCTGATGCCAGACACTCTTCACCCTCAACCCTAAACCCAACCCTCTGTTATCGATGAAGGAGGACTGCCGTGCAGAGTAGGCGAGTCTCGCCCCCCGAGGATGGCAGGGACATGAACAAGCAGAGGTGTTTCCAAAGATTTTGTCATGCATGGTGAGACGAACATGAAAAACGAGTTAGAAGAGTGAAGACAGTCGGCTGCAAGAACAGCGAAGGCAGAAAGAGATACTGCAAACGGGTAGGATTGGCTTCAAGAGCTCAGAGCAGGATGACTATCAGCAGTGGCCGCAGTAAGAGTGCTCCCGACCGACCCAACACCCCCTTGTCACCGGATCAAACCTGAACGCCAAACACGAAACTCAATGACCCCAAGCACCGAATCCAAATCCAGGCAGACATTACCACCTCCCGCATCCCCCTTTGCTTCGTCAAAAAGCAACTTCCGTCCGCACCTTTTTGGCTCCTTCTGCCATGACATGGGAGCCTCTTCCTGAGTGCAGGGGACCAGGGTTCGGGCTCAAGGTTTGTTTATGCCACCCTTCCGCAACCAATTGAAAGTCTCCCCTCATAGTCGCTTGAAACCGAAGATCGTATTCTAACTGCTGACCACAAACTGTTAGATCGCAAGCCCAAGATCTTACTCGAAAGGCTGATGAGGGCACTCCAGGCAATGCAAGAAAGCCGAATTCCTACAAATGCGTTAGCGGCTCGTAGCAAGCCCTCCGAAAACCTGATCCTCTAAACCCTAAACCCTAAAGCTGTCACGCCTATACCTAACACCCTAAACTCTAAACCCTAAACCCTAAACCCTAAACCCTAAACCCCTAAACCCTGAACTTAGGAAGCTTAGAGCTTCCGAGGCGCTGCGGTTTACGGATTTTGGGAAGCATTGAACGGTTGAGGGTTGTTTGGGGTTTAGGGTTTTAGGG